ACACAACGGCCGAAACGTTGTGAATATGGCAATGAGGATGAGGATAACAGTCCGAATAATGTAAATAATGCAAGCAATCATAATACCCCATCTCATATATTTGGACTGTAGAAAGGCACAATGATCTGTGTGATACAATGTTTTGTCCAAAAAGATAAATGCATATAACATGTAATTAACTTAAAATCATTCAAACTCAGTGAATGTTACTATAACGCTATATACAAGCTGAGTAAAAGGTAAATGGCGGATACTTGGCGACTGAATAGCTCCAAGGTCATTTTTTGTGTTATTTTCTTCTTTTTTTAATGCACAGTACGTTCACCTCACATCAAGGCCGAACAACCGGTTTTCGAGGTATTTTAATTGTCTCGGTGTTTTCTCAACAAACCATAGATGATTCGTCTATCCATCGAACTAGCGATCTTTTTGTTCATATCTTTCCATCTATATAACGACGGTCTCACATGTTTAGTCATTATATATATATATATATATATATATATATATATATGAATATATATATATTGAATGTGGATTAAATTCTGCGTAATGAAATCGATAATCCAATCTGATATTTTATTGACTGATCTATTTCCGATTTAATGGCCCCAACATCGATTGCCATTCACGCTGACTAATCATCGTCTTTGCCTTTGAAATCATTTTCTGGTGACCAATCACTGATTGGCTTATCGATTTACCAATAAGGAGATCTCTATGATCGTAACTTAGGTTGCCTTTAATTTAATTTTTTTCTCTTCCTTTGAATTTTCATATTTATTCTCTATGGACTGTGGTGAAACAAATTCAAACACAAGCACTTTGGTAATTGAAGACGTGTATGACACAATGTCTGGAGATTGGTAATTTAGTTTCCCCAAAACAGGACAACGTGTTTCTTCTTTCAACTTACTAAGTTTAGCTTAGTTTGACACAAGGCCACGGGTAGACAAAAACAATCTATGAAGAATTACTACCACATCTGGGCTCAATCCACACATTCGTGTTCAAAATCGTTTACATGGACTGCTGGTTTGATTCATTTTTTTTACAACTCTCCAAAAATTTTTTCAACTGACGCAACATAATCACTGATCTGACATTAAGTTTTCTTCAGTCACAATAAATCCATCCCAAATTCGTATGGTTTAAATAGCATAGTAGACTGGGCTCTGTAGCATTGGTTGATAACCAGTCTCAAAGATGGGAAACTGAATTCAAACCCATGAAGAAAAAAATCCACCATTTTTTCCAAAGAATTCTTGGCAATTCACAGAAAATAAAGAAACGGAGAGACGTGATTGCCTATCTCCTCAAGGATCATGGCATTTAAAAAATACTCCACTGAACTGTAGAATAACAATACAATAAACAACACTTACCGGCGTAAGAGTCCCAGCTAGCGTCCAGCTGGCAGACAAAAATAAAGCAGGTTGTAACTTAATACAAACCCTGCAAACTAACTGAGAAATCAAGCTGGTATTTATATAGAACTACTTCCACTCAGGTACCAGCAGCCAATCACAGCCCAAGCAATGGACTATCCCACTTTAGCATAATGAGATGCTCCATTGCACCATAAATAGCTCTCTTTCTCAATGTTGAATTAGTATTCACTCAGCTTGCTCCACAATTGAGTGTTTATCTTGACCACGTGATTGTTTGACACACGTCATCTCTAATCGAGCATTCATTAAGATTCAAACTCTCAAGCTTCCGAGATTTATTTCCTAACCAAATTCCATGAACAACAACTTTTACACATATTTATTCAACATGGACTGGTCTACTATAAGAGGCCCTTTACTCATGATGAATAGTTGCGCTCTCAATGTGTCCCTTTGCTTTGAATGTCTAGTGGGACTCAAGTTCTCCTCAGGAATCAAGTGGAACTCATCTATATGATCCATTATTAAAGATGCTGGGAAAATGGCCGACTCATTCTATCGCTTCAGAAATTAGTTCACTTCTATTTTGCTTTATTTTTTAAATGATCTACCTATGACGGTACTCGCTCATTTGTGTATACCTATGCTGAGGATACATGGTTGCCCCTCCAAAACTTCAGAGGGCCAGAGATTAACAGCTGATCTCTCCTCTGAACGAGCTCTCGCAGCTCAGTGGGGAGGCAACTGGCTGATCACATTCAATGCCTCGAAAAGCAAACTAGTGCCATTCCACCACCGCCGAGTGGGCCCAGAACTTTCACCAATTGCGTTGTGCGGGTTGTTCATTCAAGAAGGCCCCGTGCACTGCGCGCTCGTTAGGACTTTAGCTCAACCCATTCTCCCGCTCCAGAAAGTACTTCACTTCTGTTTTTCTTTATTTTTAAAATGATCCACCTATGACGATTTTCGCTTATTTGTGTATACCTATACTAATGATACAGCCGTATATAGGTGCCCACTCCAAAACTCCAGATGACCAGAGATTGGCAGCTGATCTCTCCTCTGAACGAGTTCTAACAGCTCGGTGTGTGTGTAGTGGGGGAGGTGACTAGTTGTTTATATTCAATGCCACAAAAACCAAAATAGTGGATCCCCAATTTTCTATTTTTGTGTGTGTGTGTGTGTGTGTGTGGATCCCCAGTAAAGTTACATGAACCCGGGGTCCATATTCGCCACAGCTGAGAACTACTGCCTTAGACGCACCACTGCTGCTTCGGATGTAGTAAATGTGGTGCCTCTACAACCCTCATGGGTTACAGAATTCGTGATTCTGTTATATGTCATGTTACATAACAAGTTCCATAGCCCATTAGAGTCATAAGGACACCACATGTACTGCAGCCATAGCCTGACGGAGCCCGTCCTTCTTTAGGCTGGTTTTCAATTGAATTTTTCTTTCTACCAAAGCTCGCTTCTCAGTCCAACACTCTATCTACTTTACATAAATGCTTCGAAAACCAAGTGGCATTCTTCTGATTTGCTTCATTTTTACAATGATCTACCTATGACGATACTCGATCATATGTGTATACCTATGCTGATGATACAACGTTATATGGGTGCCCCTCCAAAACTCCAGATGACCAGAGATTGACAGCTGATCTCCTCTGGACGAGCTCTAGAGCTCAGTGTGTGTGGGAGGAGGTGACTAGTTGTTTATATTCAATGCCACAAAAAACAAACTAGTGATGCTCCATCATCGCAGAGTGGACCCTGAATTTTTCAACTATCGTGATGAACGGCTGCTCTCTGTTGGGACTTAAGCTTAATTCAGACCTCAAATGGATCTATAGTACATTCACCAATCTTGAAAAAACATTGCCGGTTCTCTGTACAGCTCTACTAAGTACCTGACTCCTCCTGTTACCGTCTAACTTTACAAGAAAGAGATCAGGCCGAAAATGTAGTATCGCTGCCATTTATGAAGAAGTATAAGTTTAATAATTGATTCTGTTCTTTTTCCAACAGCTTTTATTTTTTTTTATTTTCTCTCAAGTTCATCGCATTCTGGGGGTGGCTTCAAACTTTTCAACTGTAGTGTATATCTTTACAGTCTACGAGATAAAACTTCTACACTTGTTTTGATACAGCTCAGATCATTTGTGAATATCTATGATGATGATGATGATGATACAACGTTATATAGATGCACTTCCCAAAGTCTAGATGACCAGAGCTTGGTAGCTGATCTCTACTCTGTACGATCTCTAACAGTTCAGTGGGGAAAAAAACTGTCTTGTCATATTCGATGCTTCGAAAACCAAACAAGTGGCATTCTTCTGATTTGCTTTATTTTTACAATGATCTACCTATGACGATACTCGATCATATGTGTATACCTATGCTGATGATACAACGTTATATGGGTGCCCCTCCAAAAGTCCAGATGACCAGAGCTTGTCATCTGATCTCCCCTCTGAACGAGTTCTAAAAGCTAAGTGTGGGGGGGGGAACAATTGGCTGGTTAAATTCAATGCCTCGAAAACCAAACGAGTGATATTTCACTATCGTAGAGTGGACCGACAACTTTCACTAATTGCGTTGAACGGGTTGTTCATTCAAGGAGGCCCCGTGCACTGAGCACCTATTAGGATTTAAGTTCAACCCAGACCTCAAGCGATCCATCGCTAAAGATGCTTGAAAAATAGTCTGTTCCCTGTACCGCTCCAGTAAGTACCTGACTCCTCCCGCTAGTGTATACATTTACAAGAGCCAGATAAGGACGAAAATGGAGTATTACTGTCATATATGGACAGGAGCCGCCCACTTTCCACTCTAGATAGAATCCAAATGCATCTTCGCGTCCTTGTGGGTGATGAATTATTTTCCACCCTACAGTCCCTTTCTCATAGACGAGACGTCGCAAGACTCACTCGTCCCTATAGCTATTTCTATGGATAGGGTTCAGATGAACTACACTCTTTAGTTCCACCCTTCCTGGCCTTCCTTGAAGAAATCTATAGCTGGTCATATTTTTTTCCAAAGAATGTATAGCTGTTTGTATTACTGGTATTTTTTAAAGTAATGCTGATAATGATTTTCCGTTCAAAAATTATTGCTGGAAATATTTTTTTTATTACAATGTATTTCTGGTATTATAACCTATTTTTACACAAGTTTGGGTGTTAACTATTTGCCCATAGCTGGGACCCTAACAGGTGCTACTACCCTGGGTCAGGGGGGACCCGGAAAAACCACGCTCCTCAAAACCTCCTGATCAGAGCCCTTGCTGCTGGATGTAGTTTATCGTCTTACCCAGGACGCGGATTTAGCTTATCGTCATACCCAGGACGGAAAAGACCCACGACTTAAAGAAGTTGACTGTAGTTTTCGAAAACGCATCTAGTGTCGATGGAATGTGCGGCTACTGGGCAATTCTTAACGTGTTTCATGTGCACAGGCTTCGGATATCCACTTTAAATCGTCCTTGTGCCATATCCCTTCACCTTGAAATTGCATTTCGAGTATTTAATTAATGTCGATTGATTTAGAACACGTAATGGAATGTATAAATTTTTTCGGTGGATTTTTATAGCGCCTTATTGATTCATGTTCTTGTAAGCAATCAGCTGCCTTTTACACAGAATCAACCAATTCGCCCTTGCATGGAATATTGCTGCCATATATGGTCTGGAACCCCTTCTGTTTGCATCGGGATTCTTGATAGGCTCCAGAGACGCATATGCAATGTAACTGGCCCTGATATGGCATCTCGTCTGCAGTCGCTCTCTCACAGACGTGCCGTCGCATCCCTCTGTCTTTTTTTACAAATACTTTCACGGTAACTGCTCCGATGTGCTGCTTTCGCTGGTTCCCAGACTTCATGAATTTAAGCGTTCAACTAGGCTGGCATCTCGCTCTCACCCTTTCACTGTCAAAACTGTTAAATGTAGCCGTCTCTTCTACTCCAATAAATTCGCGTTTCGCACCTCTCGCCTGTGGAACTCCCTCGCTTTTTCCTGTTTCCCTGATAGCTATAATCTCCAACTATTTAAATGTAATGTCAATCGACGTCTCCAGAAACCTTGATCTATCCCCTATCCCTCTCTTCATCCTTTCCTCTATCACTTTTATTTAGACTCACTACAATCCTATGTAACCCCTTGCGTGCTTCCTGCCTTGCTTTAAAAAAAATTGGACTAGCCGTTTAATTTTTTAAGGTTTTAATGCTAATAGTAATGATGAGATTAACCGTTTCCTTAGAAGGAAACATTCATGCTTTAAGTAAAACTATTTTTAAGGTTTTAAATCCTTATACTAATAGAGACTAGCCGTTTCCTTATAAGGAAACTTTCGTGATTCATTGACCAAGCAGCGTCATTGACGGTTGAAATTTATAAAATCTTTCTCTTAAAATATTTTTTCAAGAAAAGGGGCTTCATTACCTCTCTTTTATGTAATGATGGCGGTTTACGCCCTAACATTTTGTTTTAAATAATGTGAAAACGGAATATCTTTATTAGGTCATGATTTTTAAATGTGCTATCCATTTTAGTTGTTACTGCTGCTTGAGATTTTCAAATGATGTGGTTTCTATCATTTGGTAAAAGTCGTTTTGTTTGTGATTCTGTAGCGCCAGTCTATGTCATCGAATAGGACGGTCATTTTTTAAGTACTTCGCTTGAAGACATTTTTAATCACTGATCTGAGAAAGTGGTTGTATATAGATGATAATTTAGACATTTCTGAACGAGCTGGACGTCATGCAAGACATCCAGTCTAGACGTGTAGCATCTTGTGGTGTCGTATGAAACTAATCCTAGCGCAGCCTATTCAATGTTCAGTTTCTTAATCTTACGATTTATTTTAATTTCTCATCCATACAAGGAATTATTTCAAGCGTTTAGTATTTATTAATTTTCTATTATTAATTTGTTGTTTTCTATTTTTAGATCACAGTAGAGTGGCTCGGATTGAGAAATCAGAGAGACGAGTTCGAAATCCAGTCAAGTTCATTGTTGACAAATAAAGAGATGTATTCATACATTTCTCTAGGATTAATATCCGAGAGAAATGTATGAATACATCGCTTCTCCTTCCAGCTATGGGTAAATAGCAGAGCAGATTGGATCTTATAGGGTTGGATGGCAACCAGTCTAGGAGAAGGAAAACACTGAATTCAAAATAAGCCTGAAAGGGGGTTGGCCTCCGTCAGGCTGTCTTACCCAGAAAACTCCACTGCGACCGTTCTGCAGTACGTATGGTACCCCTACAACCCTTATAAGTTACGGGTTTGGAAAAATAGATTTTTATTGGTTACAATATACGACAGCGAGATCTTCGGTCAATTTTTCACCGACTTGTCAGCTTCGCTCCACGTTGTTTCGATTCCCGTTTGCATCAACAAAACCAAAACGGATATCAACAACGGATAAAAAAGAAAACAAAAATCCTGTTTTCAATATACTTCTCTCGTGCCAGGCTCAAGCCAGATCTTCCCATCGGCTTGTGACTCTTATTCTCGACGGTCTGATCGTGAATCACCTCTGACCGTCGACACTTTCATACCACTTACCTTTCTATCTTAATATCACAACGGAAGACTTCTGACTCACCTCAGTCCTGACTCCTGTTATCTAGAATGCGCCCAGACTATAGAAACCGGAATTCCCTACTTTCCGACCAAGTAGCACTATGCCCCGAATATTTACATTAATCTTATTTATTTAGTCATATAATTCTACTTCTTTCCTTACTTTACTAAGACTGCGAGTGGCTGTTTTGAAGCAAGCATCTCGTTATTACCTCTTCTTTGTTGTCATAAAAAGGCCAATGCGTTTGACTTAAAATCATTTATAACACATATGTCCGAAACAAAACAATCAACCGGAACATATTGAGTCACGAAGAACGGCAATGATCAATTTCTTGCAAACTATGAATCTCTAGTTGTTCTGTATTTATTCCTTAATTCAATGCATTTTTTTTTCAATATTTAACTAGCATCTTATTGGTTGAAAAATAAAAAGTTTCGAATACTTGTAAGCCATAAATCTTTTTGCACCGTAATTTGTCTGAAAATAATGTATTTTTCGAAAGGTTTATCTAGCTTCTTATTGGTTAAAAACTAAGGATAACAAGTTAAAAATTATTGTAAGCTGTGAATCTATTTTTGCGCAGTAATTATTCTGAAAATAATGTATTTTTGTAAGTTTTATCTAGCTTCTTATTAGTCAAAAATTCTTATGGAAAATTTTAAATTCTTATAAAGAATAAAAAAATTCTTATTATTGTTTAAAAATTCTTATATTCCAAGAATCGATTTTGCGCATTATTTAATCTATAATTAAAGCTGTTGTTTAACCAGCACCTTATTGGTTAAAAAATAGAATGTAAGTATTCAAATTCTTGCAAGTTCTATTCCTGTTTTTGCATAGAATTTATAATCAAACTTAGTGGTTTTGTTTGCTACACGTTAAATAGAAAAGTTTATAGACCTAAGGATATGTTCATCTCTGATTAGGATATTCGGTGTACTAAGATAATTTGCGCTGATATCAAGGCAAATTAGAATTGTTGGACACTAGCAGTGACCCCTTGAGATTTGTAAATGACTGGTGAAATTAAATAGAAGGAAGAGAGAAAGGTTAGGGAATAAACTTTTATTTGCCCGCGGATAGGAGAGCGACTGTTCGTGCGCCAAATATCGTTGAAACGCAAGATCTCGCAATAATAAAATATGGAGACGTCATCAACGAATCGAAGAGGGATGCTTTTCATCGGAGGTAACCATGGTAACCGAGGCCCGGAGATAATGAAATGATCGGGCACCTACCGTAACGTGATAGTTGGAATGTTGATCTGCGAACAGCAGTCCCCAAACGTTGTGCGTTTGCTCTTCAAAGACCGCGCTATATTTTGGCCTTGATAACAAACGAAGCAAAGATTAAGAAATATTTTAAGACCTTTTTTATGTTTATGCATTCTTTTTAAAGATACAAGTATTCAAGTAAATGCTCTGTTTATAATAAACAACATTTACCGGCCTGAATGCCCGAGAAATTTTCACAGAAAATATTCGTCCTCCGACAGGATTCGAACCTGTATCCTTTTAGCTGACATGCCTTAACCGATTGAGCCACAGAGGATCGTTCGGTTAGTAAGGTCAGTTTTACTGTTTTTAAACTACAATCTTCCATGATTCTCTCACGTACATTCATATCTGCTCAAAGCTTATCCAAATGTAAACAAATGACGTCACATATTATGAAATGGACAAAGTCCGACAATTATTTTAAGATATTTTTCTAAAAAGAATGTATAAACATAAAAATGTCTTAAAATAATTATCGGACTTTGTCCATTTCATAATGTTTGACGTTATTAAGAAATATCTAGAATACGGTTTTGCTCCACAGTTGGATAGACAATTAGTAGTTGATACGTTTTTATTTACATTGTTCAGAGTGTTGTCCTCGTCTTTATTGTCATACTCACGACATTTCGGCCGTTTTACTCTCCGGCCTTCTTCAGGGTTTGTCCATATTTCTGAGATGAGGTATTGTAACTGTTTACGGCATATTTCGTAATTATATGAGTTTTAGCTACGTACATTATCCACATTGTTCCGATTATTGTTCTCATCTTTTATTGTCATATTCACGACGTTTCGGCCGTTGTACTCTCCGGCCTTCTTCAGGGTTTGTCCATATTTCTGAGATGAGGTATTGTAACTGTTTACGGCATATTTCGTAATTATATGAGTTTTAGCTATGTACATTATCCACATTGTTCCGATTATTGTTCTCGTCTTTTATTGTCATATTCACGACGTTTCGAACTGAACCGCTTATTTCGTCTACAGTATACTTTTTTATATACTAATAATAACCAATTATGGCGAGTACCAGCGATTTTTTAAACAGTACAGACTGTACTAATCGCTGGTAGTCTCCATTCCCCTATATAGATGTGAAACGTGGACATTGTTGGCAGATAAAAAGAGAAGGATCCAAGCGTTTCAGAACAAATGCATAAGAAATCTCCTGGGTATTTTTTATTGGGAATAAAACAACAATGAATTTGTGCGGGAAAGGGTTAAAAATTTTGTGGGCAACCAGAAATCTCTTCTCGCCACTGTCAAACGGAGAAAAATGGCCTGGTTTGGACACATGACAAGGCACGATAGCCTGTGCAAGACCATCATGCAAGGCACCGTTGAAGGAGGACATAGGAGAGGTCGGCAACGCAAAAACTGGTTGGACAATGTCAAACAATGGAGGGGGTAGGACTGTACTAGAATTGCTGATGGGTGCCGTTAAGAGAGCTTTGTGGAAAAGAGATAGGTGATTTCTGCATTCGGATCCACCCACCCACGATTACAAAATCAAGGGGATGAAATTACGAAATATGCCGTAAATAGGGATGATGATGATGATGATTATGCTGATGATGATGAATAACACAATACAATGCCAAGAGCCACTCAAGGTAGAGGACTACTGTGTGATGTTGCATGAGCGTAAAAAAGGCAAGAAGAGATATTCATGGAGTTATGCAAGAAATATAAGGGTTACCCAAAGAATTGAAGAGGTCAAGATGGTAATGACTGAGAAATCAAACAGCCGGAAAATTGTTCCACAGAATAGTAATTGTTGGGAAGAAATTGTCCGAATGGAACTTATTTCTTACGACTGGAATCCGAAGGGAAATGGGGGTGAGTCATACTTGACTATGTGGCATGGTGGGTCCCAGTTGTAAAGGCTAGGGCTGGTGGTACTAAGTAATTTAGCTCATCTGAACATTTGCCATGGAAATAGCGAGAAAGCAGCGATAGGATTGTGGCGTTTCGTGTGTGGGAAACTGACTGTAAGGTGGATAAAATAATTCATCACACTCAAGGTCGCATAGGCGCTTTTGAACTCTACCAAGACAAACAAGTGGAGATTGGAGAGGATATGGTAACGATACTCTATATTGTAAAAAGGAGAGTATAAAGGGGATGTTTTATAATCTGAACCACCGGGCCACTGGTAGTCTAGTTTTATTATAAAAATGCACTGAGTTTTGTGTTGATCACTATTTGTCCATAGCTGGGACCCTAACAGGTGCTACCACCCCGGGTCAGTTTGGATCTGGGAACAACAATTAATTGGTGGCCCCATGATCCTTAAAACCTCCTGATGCCGGATGTAGTTCATCGTCATACCCAGGACAGGGTCATAAAAACTCGCACTATACTTGAATATATATAACATAAGTGCCATTTTGTTACTATTTTCCTTGGAACTTCTTCGTTACAATATTCGATACTTACAAGAGAGATTGAGAGAAAGAGGTATAGAAGAAAGAAGCGCGAAAAATACTTGATGGGCTTGAGCAAATGGATGGTAAAGTAGGGTTTGGGAGAGATAGACAATTGCCTCAAAGATGAAGAAGAGACTTGAAACAACAGAAACAAGGTTCAACAGAAGGATGCTGAGGATACCAAGAACAGAAACATGTGAGCAACGACGAGGTTTTGGAGAAAATGGAAACAAAAAGAAAACTTATTCTCAACATCAGGAAGAGGCAGTTGAAATTTCTAGGGCACGCAATGAGGAAGGAGGGCTTGGAAAACCTGATACTCACAGGACAGATTGTGGGAAAAAACGGACAGAAGAAAACAGCTCGACAAATACTTGATGGACTTGAGTAAATGGGTGGTAAAGCAGGGTTTGGGAGATATAGCAAAAAAGACAAAACATATTAAGAGCTACAAGGGACAAGAAGATGTGGAGGGCCATGATCGCCTCCGTCTTGAAGGGATACGGCACATAAAAGAAAGGAGAAGGTTTTTCAGCATTTCAAGGAATTTAAAATTTAAATTTGAATTTAAAAGATTTGTCCGAAGACAAAGAAGTGCCTAAATTCGTTGCAGCCTTTATCATTTTTTTAAATCAATAAAAATTGGCAATGAATCAATTTTTAAATATAAATTTACCAGAAAAAAGGCAGAATTTTTAAAGATGTGTATATTTGTTTTTGCAAAACAAATCGTATTTTTTTAATATTTGGTAATGCTGATCTCAATTTAAATATACTATCGCGAATTTTTTTTTTTTTTTTTTTTTCAGGCAATATTTTGATAGTTATTTATGCCGGTTTTCTTATATTTCTCTTATAAAAATATTTCACTTCCCTGGAGGGCTGGAAAATGTAAGTAGAACAACCGCTTGCTTAGAAAGAGAAACATTTCAACGACTACGAAGAAATTGCATGAAAGACAGTGAATTAAAAACTCACTGTCCAACTTAATTATCCGGACACAAATCTTCTTCCATGAAAATTTCTGTCAGTCAATGACGGGGCAGCAATTTAATAGTTACAGACAGCTACACATGGTCATGCCGACCTGCTGAATTTCATTTCAAGCATTGATATGGGAAAGAAAGTTTATGAACGTGGCTTTGAACTTAGTATATCAGTTGATGCCAGACGGACGACATTTAAAAAAACGGTTGATTTATTATGAATTTCCCGCACAACTTTTTCTGGGAATTACAGAGAATGGTCAGCAAAAGAACAAAAAAGTTCAAGAGAATGGTAGAGAGATCAGAGCAAAAGATTGACTGATTCAAGCTCATAGAATGACCGCAGTTATCTTAGTATTGATGAGAAATTGGGAAAGATGACTACAGGACCTCCAGGATAGGTTGGTATAAGAAAGCAAGAAAAAAAGGACTAAACATCAACTGCAAGAAGACAGAAAGTATGGAAATTAGCAAAAAACAAAAGAAAGCCAAAGATGCTAGTTACAAATTGGAGACATAAACATCAAGCAGGTGCAGAAGTCTAAATAACTTGGAAGCGTTTTATCTATCTATCTATCTATCTATCTATCTATCTATGTCAGTCTGTTCATATCTATGTCTGTCTACTCCTTATCTATCTATCTATCTATCTATATCAGTCTACTCATTATCTATCTATGTCAGTCTGTTCATATCTATGTCTGTCTACTCATTATCTATCTATCTATCTATCTATCTATCTATCTATCTATCTATCTATCTCAGTCTACTCATTATCTATCTATGTCAGTCTGTTCATTTCTATCTATGTCAGTCTGCTCATTATCTCTCTCAGTTTGTATATATCTATCTATGTCAGTCTGTTCATATCTATTTATGTCAGTCTGCTCATCTATCTATCTATCTATCTATCTATCTAACGATCGATTTATCTATGTCAGCATGCACATTATGTATCTCAGTTTGTTCATATCTATCTATCTATCTATCTATCTATCTATCTATCTATCTATCTATCTATGTCAGACTGTCCATATCTATCTATCTATATATCATCACAGCAAAGCGAAGGATCCTTTCTTTAGCTGTCATAATATATGCTACGCCTGGGCTACATAG